CACACGCTCACATGCACACATGCACACGTGCACACTTGGTGATGATGCTTCCACAGTGCTTGCTTGCTTGATGGCGTAAACGCTTTGCCTTTGAGGTGAGTAAAGAGAGCATGCGGCACACGTAGGCAGAGAGTGTGTGAGCGCGCACGCACGCGGCAGCCAAGCGAGCATTCAACAAGCGATCACAACCACACACGCGCGCACATGAACAACATAACTCGTTTCATTTCTCGCAATCGCAAAACAAAGGCAGCAGCTTTGGAAAGAAAGAAGACGAGAAAAAAAAAGCGAAGAAAGAAGAAGAAGAGGAGAAAGGACAGGTGGGAAGGCATCAGCAACGCTTATGGCACACGTGCACGCTGATGCGCTGGTGCTGTGATGTCGTGATGTGACAACACTCCCCACGTTGCGATTCTTACTTGCGTGATCTCCCTTCTCTCCATCTCTTTCCTCTCTTCCGCCTATCGCCATCTCCTTCTACTTCCTCGCATTGCTTCTTGCTTGGGTCTGACGCTGGCTCACCCTGTGCTCCCTGTTGACACGTGCGTTGTGTTACCCAGCAAGCTGCTCATCGCCAGCAAAGATGAGTTCGGATGAAGGTTCTCCAAAGCCGGCGTCATCCACGACGCTGCACGCCATCAAGGAGTTTGTCGCAGGATCGGTACGTATCTGTGCCTACGTGCGTGTGTGTATGTCTTTGTGTGTGTATACGTGCGTGCGTGTGTGTATGTCTGTGTGTGTGTATGTGTGCGTGTGTATGTCTGTGTGTGTACATGTGTGTATGTGCACATGTGTGTGTGTCTGCCTGTGTGTGTGTGTGTGTATGTGTGATCTGTATGTCTGCATCTTCTCTCCTCCTTTGCCATCCCCATCCTCCCTCACCAACAAACACAAACACACACACACACACACACACACACACACACACACACACACACACACACACACACACACACACACACACACACACACACACACACACACACACACACACACACACCTAAATACAAATCATCAGATTTGCCCTCAGATTGTGCAGCAGTCCTTTTGACGTAACATAATGCTTACACAAGAAACTAGACGAAATTGGCTCGCCCGTGATGTGAAGTGTGCAAGATTGTGGTGTGTGAGCGTTTTGGTGCACGGGTGCTTCTTTGCTGTGTCAAACTTTCTTCTTCCCCCCCCCCCTCACTCTACATGGCTAGCGCGTTTGAACAGAGATGGTGAACGGCCTCTCCAAAAATATTCATCCATATAGTCCTCGCTGGTCAACTTGGTCCCAGTAAAAAACGCTCACTGTGCAAACGCTCTTCCAAGTCTGACTCGGGAAGCCGCGCCCTTCTAGATGAACTGGAGGCTGGTTGCAACCTAGGGCTAGCACGGTAGTTGTGAGTCTGAATACAGCGGTAGGCCTAATTCGAGGGAAGGTGGCTCAGGTAGAGCCTAGCGGTGCGTCATACGACCTACTGCATTAGCCACAAAGTCTCGATACAATTGTGGGTACTCTATACAGTGTGCCTGTCCCAATAGCAAGCGCGTTCCCTAACGGCCCCAAGTCCTGGTCAGGGACCGAACCGTAATAATCTATGGAACAGGCCAGAAAGGGACTTAATAGCAGGGATCTTCCGAACCCCCAGAAGATCCATGCCTAATTCAAAATGTTAGATTACAGGCGGCTAATAGTTATAGATCAGAGAGGCGGAATGCATTCTCCTGGGAATCACCGTGTTACGCGGGCGTGTTATGTGTCCAGAGGCGTGCGTGTGTGTGTGTGTGTGTGTGTGTGTGTGTGTGTGTGTGTGTGTGTGTGTGTGTCGTGTGTGTGTGTGTGTGTGTGTGTGTGTGTGTGTGTGTGTGTGTGTGTGTGTGTGTGTGTGTGTGTGTGTGTGTGCACCACGGACCCTTCTTCTCCTTCATGACCACTCACCATCACCATCACCATCACCCTCACCCATCCCTCTCTTGGCACTGCCACCACCACCACCACCGCCACACCACCATCTTGCAGGGGCTGCCGCACTATGCGCTGTGCGGTTTCTCTGCCGGTATTGTCGTCTCTTTCGTCCTCTCTCCAATCGAACTCATCAAATGCCGCCTCCAGGTGCGCGCCTGTGTGTGTGTGTGTGTGTGTGTGTGTGTGTGTGTGTGTGTCTGTGTGTGTGTGTGTCTGTGTACGTGTCTGTGACGTCTGTGTGTGTCTGTGTCTGTGTCTGTGTCTGTGTCTTTGTCTGTGTGTGTGTCTGTGTCTGTGTCTGTGTCTGTGTCTGCGTCTGTGTGTGTCTGTGTGTCTGCGTGTTTTGGTTTTTGTGCTATGTACTTTCAACCTCACCCAAACCATCCACAACTTCCCCTCTGCCCACCCTTCTTCACAACCACACAACAGGTCCAGAACCTGAACGGGTCCGAGGGGCGATACAAAGGTCCAATCGACTGCCTCGTGAAGGTGCGCAGCTCTAGCAAGCAGCAGCCGCAGGATTGTGTGTGTGTGTGTGTGTGTGTCTGTTGTCACCGTTTGCTTGTTCGACACCATGCTCGTGACACTCTCCATCGCAGCTGACTGACTGGTTGAATGGTTGTGTTCTTTCCCGCGGTTTCGCGCTTGCCGCGTTTCTTGCTGTCTCATTGCTGTTCACGTATGCTGCTGTGTTGCTGCTGCTGTGTGACCTCGATGTGAACCATCAGGTGATGAAAGAGGAAGGTATCGTGCGCGGACTGTACAGGGGGAACCTCGCCACCATCCTCCGCGAAGCACCAGGAAACATGGCGTGGTTCTCAACCTACCACATCATGAGCAACGTGAGGCGCAGCTAATGCACGTTCGTGTGTGTGTGTGTGTGTGTGTGTTTGTATGTGTGTGTGTGTGTGTTTGTGTGTCTGTGTTTATGTGTGTGTGTGTGTGCGTGTCTGTGTGTGTGTGTGCATTGTGACTTGCTGTTGTCTGTCTCCCACTTTCGCATACTTGATACACCCACGCACGCACTCACACGCATGCGCACGCACGTGCCTCACCTCTACCACCGCCCCTGCCCATGCCGCTGCCAGAAAATGGTGCCCGAAGGAAAGACGCGTGATGATCTCTCCTGGTATCACAACGCGGTATGATACACACACACACACATACACGCACGCACGCACACACGCCCGTGTGGATGAGCACAATCGTTCTTCTTCGTGTGCATGTGCCTCACATACACACACACGCACGCACACACACACACACACGCACACGCACACGCACACACACGCACACACACACACACGCACACGCACACACACACACACACGCACACACACACAATCCTCAATTCAAGTGCGTGTCTTCTCAGCCTCACTCGCTTTCCTCCCTCCGCTCCCCTTTTTATCGCCACCACCAACTGGCTGTCGTTGGTCACAGCTGGCGGGCGGCTTCAGCGGCATGGCATACTGGACGGCGTTCTACCCTGCAGACACCGTACGTGCATCCCTCTACTCGATGCTGTCGCTGTGTGTTGCAAAAGCGATGGTGATGGGCAGTACGCACGTGACTTGGCGTGTACTTGACCTTCCCGCTCGCACTCACACTCACACCTTCACACACACCTTCATACCTTCAAACGCACCTTCACACACACACACACACACACACACACACACACACACACACACACACACACGCACGCACACGCACACACAAACACACACACAAATATCGTGGACCGGTGACGACAGGTGAAGACGCTGCAGCAGAGCAGCCCCGCTTACGAGGGACAGAACTTCACCACCGTCTTCCGAAACGTCTACAACAGCCAGGGATTCCGCGGCCTGTACAAGGTACCCTTGCGCGTGCAATTGTGTGTGTGTGTGTGTGTGTGTGTGTGTGTGTGTGTGTGTCTGTGTCTGTGTCTGTGTCTGTGTGTCTATGTGTCTGTGTCTGTGTCTGTGTCTGTGTGTGTTATTTATGTGCGTTGTTTGCAGCACTGCCAGTTGCATACAACACAACACAACACAACACAACACAACACAACACAACACAACACAACACAACACAACACAACACAACACAACACAGCACACTCACACACTCTCTCTTTCCTCCTCATCCTCCATTTTAGGGCTGGGGCCTGACTGTGGCACGTGCAATGCCGTCGAACGCCGTCCTGTTCATGGCATACGAGCTCATGAACAAGCTTGTTCGCCAGAGCACCTAAGCAACAGCACCAACACACACCAAACACCACAAACACAACAAACACCAACCAAACACCACAAACAACACGACTTTTGTTCAGGTTCGATTTCTTGTTGAAATCTTCACTAGTTTTCCAATACTCCAATACAACTGAATTCAGACTTTCCGTTTCTCCCATTTGCCACAAGAAGCGAAGACAAAAAGGAGAGCACACACACACGCGCACACACACACACACACACACACACACACACACACACACACACACACACACACACACACACACACACACACACACACACACACACACACACACACACACACACGCACACACACACGCACACACACATCAGTGGCTGCTTCTTCTCTACCCCCCCCCCCAACTCCCTTCCGCTTGACGGTCTTGACGGAGTGACAAGCATTATGGCTGAGGCCAACAGCAATGGCGACGCTGCCCACGGCGGCGAAGACTTTTACGCTCTGCTCAACGTGTCGCGTGATGTGAGTGTGCATGTGTGATGTGTGTGTGTGTGTGTGATGTGTGTGATTCTGTGATGTGACGATGGTGGATGGTGGTGATCATGCTGGTGGCGACGGTGTTCTTGTGGAGTGGTGGTGTGTGGAGTGTGACATATCGCTGGCGAACCTCCACCTAACCAGCGCACCTTCCGCACCTGGCATTGGTCTCACTCCGTTCCCCTAACCCCTTTCTCCTGACCCCTTTCTCCTCACCACTCACCCCTCTTGTTTTTTTCACTTTGCGACAAACAGGCACGTGTTGAGGAAATCCGCAGCGCGTACCGGCAGATGTGCATGCTGTACCACCCCGACAAGCACACGGACCCAGCCAAGCAAGAGGTCATTCCGCGCAAAAGCGGGGCGCTTTAAACCATGCTTGCCTTGAACTCTGTGCACTTGACCTCGGCTCTGTGTGCACTCGTTTCATTGAGTTGGTTGGTTGGCTGCTTGTGTCGATTGCTCACTTCACATTCCTACCTGCCGCATGTTGTGGCGGGTGCAAATCTCTGCCTTGTCGCTGCGTGCTTCTTTCTCTGCCAACAGCTGGCCCGCGAGATGTTTCCCAGAATACAGCGCGCCTACGAAGGTGGGATGCACAACGTGCCATCGTTGTGCGGTGCCAGAGCACAGCTTATTCATCGTCCTGGCTTCATTGCCCTGGCTTCCCTTGTTGCACTCACGTTGCTCTCACATTTGCCCCGCATTGTCCCCACATTATCATCATGACCTCGCACTCACCTTGTTCCACCCTCGCTGCAACTCACCCCCCCCCCTCATTATGTTCCTCTTCTTCCCGCCTTTTTTCGTTCCCTTTGTGCTGCTGCAGTGCTGTCTGACGAGCAGCAGCGTGCCGTGTACGACATCTACGGAGAATCGGGCCTCACCGCCGGCACCGAGGTGCGTGCACGCACATGCGTGCATCTTGTGCATGTATGGCATGCTGTGTGTTGCCGTAGGTGTGTCGTGGTGCAACAAGTCTACTGCATGGCATGTGTTGCGTGCTGGTAACTGATGCCCACATTCGCATGTGCTGCTTCTCGTGTATCGTTCTGTTGCTCTGCATGAACTGCGTGTGGTGCTTTTCCTTCACAGCTTGCGCCCTACTACAACACCGTGGCCGAGGTGAGCACATGTGTGTGTGTGTGTGTGTGTGCGCGCGCGCGCGTGTGTGTGCGTGTGCTCGATGTGTGTGTGTGTGTGTGTGTGTGTGCGCGCGCGCGCGTGTGTGCGTGTGCTTGATGTGTGTGTGTGTGTGTGTGTGTGTGTGTGTGTGCTCAGAGTGCGCTCACCGCCTACCACTGCGCGTGCGTGTGTATTCCCCAGTTGAAAGCGGAGTACGAGATGGTGCAACGCAAGCGCGAACAAGAACAACTACTGGCCATGACCGCCCCAAAGGTGACCACGCTTCACAAATCATATACATGCTTCACGCGCATGCTCGTAACGTTGTTTGTGTGTGTGTGTGTATGTGTGTGGGCGTGTGTGTGTGTTTACATTAGAGAGTGTGTGTGTGTGTTGTGCGATGGCTCTGCTTGCACTGCTTTTGCCGCGTGTGTTGACTCACTGCTTCGTATCTGCATCACCATCACCGTGCGTGCGTGCGTGTGTGTTCAGGGGATGATTTCGCTGAACATTGACGCAACAGAGTGGTTCAACCCGCGAAAGTACGACGACGAAGACGACGATGAGGTGGATGATGACGGCAGCAGCAGCAGCAGCACTTGGTACCGCGATGATGGTGACGATGTTGATGGTGATGAAGATGACGATACACATGATGATGACGAAGATGGTGGTGATGGCGGCGTGTCTGCCACATCATACCGCTTCGCTGATGATGATGACGATGAGGAGGAGGATGTGGATGACTTTGATGATTTCGACGACGAGGAATATTTTGACGACGACCTCACACTCAGGTATGTTATCTGCGGTGGGCGTGTGTGTACGAGTGGGTGGGCAGGTGCGACAACACGCTCAGTTTTCCATGTCGTCATGTAGACATCAACACCACATACACACATACACACACATGCACAAATGCACGCGTGCACACGTGCTCATTCGTGTCGTCCTTTGTTGTTGTTGTTTCACTTCACTGCACACCAGCCGCATCTTCTCGGGCATTTACGTCTCCGGCATGAAGTTTGAGCAGAGCGTGCAGGTGTGTGCATACGCAGCCGTCTATGTGTGTGTGTGTGTGTGTGTGTGTGTGTGTGTGTGTGCGTGTGCGTGTGTATATGTGTGTGTGTGCAGTTTGCAGTGTAGAGTTCCACGACTGATGCAGCTCACAGCATCCGTTATCACCCCATCACGCCGTCCTGCTCCCTCCGCCCTGCTGCCACCACCGCCAGACGCGCCCCACGTCCTCTGACACAATCACCCTCAACGGGACACTCAGCACACAGTTCACCAAGTACGTGCCTGTTGTGTGGCTGTGCCTGTGGTGTGGTTGTCCTGTGTTGTGCCTGTGGTGTGGTTGGGTTGGGTTGTTGTGCCTGTGGTGTTGTTGTGCCTGTGGTGTGGTTGTGCTGTGCTGTGCTGTGTTGTGTTGTGTTGTGTTGTGTTGTGTTGTGTTGTTTGCGTGCTTCTTTCATCCTTTTGGTGCTGCCCCGACCTTTTGTGTCAACTTCTTCTGATTCCTTGCCATGAAGAAGTATGACCCTTACTCGCCACACTTGCTGCAACACCAACCATCATGATCAACAACAACAACAACCCGTCCTTCCGCCCATGTGTGTGCAGGGGCACAGGGCAGGTGTCTGGCACGTGGACGCATCAGCTGTCGCCGTCGGTCTCGACCGAGACGACGCTCGCTGTCGGCAGCCACCGCCTCCTCCGCTGCAAAGTCCAGCAGTCCCTCCAGCACGGCAGGGGGTGCGTACACGCGTATGCGTGTGTGTGTGTGTGTGTGTGTGTGTGTGTGTGTGTGTGTGTGTGTGTGTGTGTGTGTGTGTGTGTGTGTGTGTGTGTGTGTGTCTGCGTACCCCGAGCCGTCGTGTAGCTTTGGCGCTCACACCATCGTCTCATACACAAAATTCACACACTCGCACCCACTCACATACACGCATGCGCGCTTGCTCCACCCCTCTTCCCCCTCAAACCACCACCATCACCACCATCAGGCTCGCGTTTGCAGATGTGATGGCGACACACATGAACTACCGCGGGCGGTCTCTGATTGGCGTGGGCGCTTCCATTGGTGAGCTGCCACGCAATCCGCGTGCCGGTGTGCTCGCATTGGCTGTGGGGATGCACGAATGTTCTCATTGGTCATCGTGCCTGACGCAGAGTGTGCACAAGCGGAACCAATCACTCGCTCACTCGCTCACTCACTCACTCACTTCACTCACTTCACTCACTCACTCACTCGCTCACTCACTCACTTCACTCACTTCACTCACTCACTCACTCACTCACTCACTCACTCACTCACTCACTCACTCACTCACTCACTCACTCACTCACACACACACACTCACTCGCACACTCACTCACTCACTCACTCACTCACTCACTCACTCACTCACTCCCTCACTCACTCCCTCACTCCCTGCCACCATCATCCCTCCTCCTCCCCCCTTCCCAAGGATTGCTGCGGTCGCTGACGGATCGGGTGCAAGGCCTGCTGCACTGGAAGGTTGGCCTGGACTCGAGCATGACCACCTCCTTCATGTACAACCACGCCGCCGCCTCCCACTCCCTCGCATGCAAGGTGCGCACTTTGAACCTGTGCCGTGATCACCCGTACCATGATGAGTTGTACAGTGCCCTTGCTTGCCGTGTTTGATCCGAATCTGACCTTCTGCCCTTGGTACCGGATGGATGATTGCGCCTGCCTTTTCCATGCAAAGCGTTCGCGTGCTTGCTGTTACTGACTGCGGTCGACTGCTTTCGCCCCTTTTTATGACTCCGCTCACACGACGCGTTCACCCACAACAAACACACACACATAAAACAACACAACCCCCCCCCCCTTCAACGCACACACACACACACACTGCCTGCAGCTGTCTGCGCGCACGCCGTCGCTGAGTGTGCAGTCTGCGTTCCCGCTGACAGATGACCTGCGCCTCAAGCTCACCGCCACCGCCACCCTCGACGACGTGTCGGTGGGATATGGCCTGGAGCGACAGCTCACCGACCACACCAAGCTTGGGCTGGGCCTGTACAGCAGCCGCGCCGAGGGCGTGTCTGTCCGCGTCAAGTTTGTCACCATGCGCCAGGCGTATGTGCTGCCCATCCAGCTGTCGGACGAACTGTCCACCTCCGCCGTGGTGTACGGGACGCTCTTCCCGCTCATCACCTACGCAGCTGTGCGGCAGCTTGTGATTGTGCCGTGGCTGCGCTCCCTGGAGCGGCGGGAGCTGGCCGAGAAGCGTCGCCGCAATGCCGTGCTGGTTGAACGGCAGCGGCAGCAGGCCAAGGCAGCCGTCGTGCTCATGCAGGAGACGGTGCAGCGCAAGATTGAGAGCGAGGAGCGTGTGCAGGGGCTCATCATCGTGCAGGCGTGGTACGGCAGGCTCGTGGGGGACGCCAGTCGAGGTACAGGTACAGCAGCATCATCATCATCATCGTCATCGTCGTCAGCGGCGGCGTCGTTCTTCGGTCTGTCATCCTATTCCTCGTCGTCAACGGAAGAAGAGGACCAGGACCTCGTGGTACGTGTGTGTGGGGGGGGGGTGTAGTCTGTGTATTATGTGTGTGTTGGGGGGTTAGTGTGTGTGTGTGTGTGTGTGTGTGTGTGTGTGTTAGTGGGTGTGTGTGTGTGTTAGTGGGTGTGTGTGTGTGTGTGTGTGTGTGTTAGTGGGTGTGTGTGTGTGTGGTCGTGTGGTCGTGGGTGGGTGTCAATGCTGGTCATGAGAGGTTGTCAACACTTTGCCCGTCCCCAACCCATCACCCTCGTCACCCTCGTGTTGCCACCACCACCACCAAAAATACACAACAGGTGGACGTGACTGTGCCGTTGCAGTGCTTGGTGAAGGACTCCAAGCTGATACTCCAAGCGTCCTCGAAGGTAATCCATTTCGGGTTGTCTTGAAACCACATGCTACATGCCCTGTCCACCCTCTTTTCAGCTGCCCTCTTACATCATCACGGTGCTAACTTGGCACTGTCCTTGTATCTATCTCGCCGTTGTCTCGCTCCGTGTAGGCGAGCCTGGTTGGCTTCTACGACCCGTGCTTGGATGAGCCAAAGGTGAGGAACTTGCGCACAACTCGCCACACATGCCACGAATGCTCTTCCCATCACGACAGCGGAACACACACATACACACACACACGCATACACACACATACATACACACACGCACGCACTAATGGTCCACTTCCTCGCACTCTGCCTTTCATTCACGCGTGCACGCACACACACACACACATGCCTGGGCACAACAACCGCCAACGGCAGCAATTGCGCGTGGTGTATCGCTTCCACAATGCGCTGCACGAGGTGACTGTCAACGACGACGAGGAACTCAGGATCCCCAAGCGGTCGCACAAGAAGCAGCAGCAACAACAACAACAATAAGCCAAGCAAGCAAGCTGGAGTGAACGAGCGAGGGCAGTGCTGTGCTCTGTATGTCATGTGTGTGTGTGTCAGGTGTGTGTGTGTGTGTGTGTCATGTGTGTGTGTGTTTGGCGTGAATGTCTCCCGAACAATCACCATCTTGTGCAATTGCAACAAAAATACACGTTGATAAGTTTCGGCATGGGAATTTCTCAGGCACAAAACGCACAAACAAAACAACCACAGCAGACACAACAAGCAAGAAGGAAGCAGCAAGCGATCGCCAGAAACACAACACCCAGCCACCGCCTTCTGTCCTCATCGCGTCTGCCACCCTCAAGCCCCTAAGCCCAAGCCCTCACCTACTGGCGCAGCGGCTTGTCGACCGCGAAGGAGGAATGGCAGGCACAGCACTAGCCGTCGTTGCGCTGCTGGTGCTGGCGTGCATCAGCAGCGCAGCAGCAACAACGACAGCAACGCAAGACGAAATACTCCATTTTGGGTTTGTTGACGCAACACCCCACGAGGGCAACCACAACCACCACCACCACCGCCACGACAACAACACTCACGGCAGCAACAACAACACTGCCAACTACGGCAATGGTTTGACGGGCAGTGACGCGTTGTTAGCTCTTCCACAGTGTGCCGGCGAAGACGCCGCACACTCTCTGCCTCTGGGTTGCCCGGATCATCAAGCCTTTTGCTCATCGGCCGTGCGCCGCGTTTTGGCATCTATGGCAAGCATCGATGCCTTGCTTGCACGCACGCAGGAACGGCCCTTTGGAGATGCGGGAGGCGAAGGGGCGCACGACCACCTGCGCGGTGGGGCAGAGGCGTTGAGGCTCACACAGCACGTGCTGCGCGAGCTGCACGGCGACTTTCCGCTCCTTCGCTCCATCCTGACACAGTTTTGTCCGGACATCAGGAACACGCGTCCTTCCATGCGTCCTGAAAAGTCAAACAAGCAACCAAGACCTGCATCAAGTCCAGCAAGCGCGTCAGCGCTTCCTGCTGCTGAGCCCATCGTGGACATGCAGATGGACACAACAGTGCCCAAGACCCGCGATACAAACCAAGACGCAGCGGTGCTCAGCCAGGGCTATGATGTCGCTTCACGCATGCCGCGACTGCGCCCACGCCGCGAAGATCCCGACAATGAGAAGCCTCGCCACAACGCAACAATCGCCACATGCAGCCTGCAAGACTTGGTGGACGGCGCATGCAATTCAGCCCGCCAATCCGCAACCTTTAGCATTTTTTTCAGGGGCTTCTTGTTCGACCCACTAGATGGAGACACCCAGGCAGCGAACAACGTGTTGCATGTCAGCAACAATGTGAAGCCAACGAGGCTGCGCCTTCATGGTACCATCCCTGAGGACCATTTGCGACTGGTGATTGACAAAGGAGCATGGAACTACGTAACAGAAGTCATTGTCCAAGGCTGGCAGCCTGGCGAGTTTGACCTGGGACTCTTGCGCGGGCTGCCGCTCCTCACACACGTGCAAATCTTGGACAGCGAGCTCGTGGGCGTGCAGTTGTCCTCCACAGGTGACGCCGGTGACAACAATGAGCTGGTTGCTCTAGAGAAACGGCTCGTCCTCCTCAACTTGACGAGCAACAGCCTGACCAACTTGCATCCGGGGCTCTTTGCCAACATGGAAAACCTAATGCATCTGTGGCTCAACGACAATCAAGTTACCGCGCTGGATGAGAACGTGTTTGAAAAGCTGTCAACCCTCCAGACGCTGTCGCTTCGAAACAACCGCATCTCCGAGATTGACGACAAGGCATTCACAGGACTGACCAACTTGCAGCGCCTCGGGCTTGGGTACAATGCCCTGTCATCGCTAAAAGAGGACGTGTTTGAGCCACTCACGTCGCTGCAGGCACTCTTCCTGGAGAACAACCCCATTGAGCGACTCAAGTCGGAAACCTTCAAGAAGCTCTCCAATCTCCTTCGCCTTGAGCTCACCTTCTCGCCGCTCAACGTGCTCAGCGATGAGCTCTTCAAGTACACGACGCGGCTGCAGCAGTTGATACTGCGGCAGAACCGGTTCGAGACCCTACCCGAGGATGTCTTCCATCCTCTCACCAACTTGGAAACGCTCGACCTGTCGCACAACAGGCTGACGTTCATTACACAGAGCCACTTCAAACACCAGGCCAAGCTCACGCACCTCTTGCTGCTGGGCAACAGAATCACAACCATCGCATTCAAGGCGTTTGGTCAGCTCACGAGCCTGAAACGCCTCGACCTTCAACACAACGACCTCACCCTCGTTGACGCAGTTTGGTTCGATCGTGAGAGCGCGCAACACATTGAAGAGTTGGAGTTGAGCTCCAACAAGCTGACCCAGTTCCCGCCAGACCTACTCGACATGCTTGATGGGCTGAGGGTACTGTCCATTGCCAAGAACAAGTTGACAAAGTTTGTTCCACCACTGGTGGCGGGCCGCACCTTTGGACTGAGGCACCTGCGCCTCAGTGACAACCCACTCGACACCTTTCCCTCCCTGGGCAGCTTTCCCCAGCTGCGGGAGCTGGAAGCAAACAACCACATGATCCCCCAGGTCAACGTCACGCCTGTGCTCAATGTCACCAGCTTGCGCGCGCTGGAAGTGGCGGCGCACCCGCACAACAAAGGCGTGCGCTTAATCGTGGAGGAAAGTGCGCTGAAGGAGCTGATGTCAGAGACAGGCAAGCCACTGCTGGAGAACCTGCGGCACCTCGACCTGCGCAACGTTGACATCACAGCAGCCCTGAAGCTGCCACTCAGCCACCTCCAACTGACACACCTCCGCCTGGGCTGGGAGGGAATGGCAGAGACCACGTTTCCTGCCAGCAATATCTGCGAGTTGCTTGGACAACATGTGGAGGAGATTGAGTTGACGGGCACCCATTACACGGACTTGGAAATGTGCGAGAACAAGACGTTTAGCTCCATCTTGCTGACAGAGAACAAGCTGTTGCGCACTGTCACAGTGCGCGCCCACCTGCGGCAGCTCAACCTCTCCGGCTGCAGTGATCTGCACGACTTGTTCCTGCCATCTGCGGAGTTGCTTGACATCAGCGGCACACGGCTGCACCCAGACCCTGGCCTGTGCAATGGCTGGGGCCGCAGCATGCTGTTTGCCCGCAACTGGAAGAATGAGCACGTGCAGCAGAACCAGGCGACGCTGCGGCTCCTGCTGGCCCGCTGCCTGCAGACAGTTGATTTGATTGACCTTGGCGCCAACGACTGGTTGGACGAGCCAGACAAGGTGAAGGACGTTGTGTCACCGCTGACAGTGCTCTCAAAGCGCCCCGTGTTCACGGAGAACGGTGTGCAGCTCCGCAGCCGCGAGACCATGCCGGTGTTCCTGCTGGAGAACACGCCCATTGCGTGCGGCCTGCACGTGAGCAACGCGCGCGTGTCGTTGAGCAGGGAGCCACAGAATGACGATGACGACAACGACAACGACAACAACAATGACGACCAGCAGTCCACACGCGTGGCCTACACCTTCCAATGCTCGTGCGCTGGTGGCTATCACAAGGGCAACAACAATCGATGCGTGCGAGATAACCGAGACCAGTACCTGCTGTTGTTTGGTGCCCTGTTCGGGGTGCTGGTGGTGCAAGCGGTGGTGTTTGTTGTCGTGCGGTATGTGCGCCGACATCGACAGCTGGTGCAGGACCACACGCTGAAGACGCAGCTGCTGGTGGAGCGAGACGAGGAGGTGCTGGCGCTGAAGAAGGCGTGGGAGATTGGCTACAACGAACTGCGCTCCCTCACACACATCTCCACGGGTGCGTTTGGTACGGTGTACAAGGCGGAGTGGGACACGGTGACGGTGGCGGTGAAGGTGATGCAGCAAGGGGTGAGCATATTTGATGACAACTCGCAGCATGAGTTTGAGAAGGAGGTGGAGTTCCTGCAGCGGACACGGCACCCGCACGTGGTGCGGTTCTTTGGCGCGGGCACACACCCCAACGGCAGCCCGTTCCTCGTGCTGGAGTTTGTGGCGATGGGTTCCCTGAAGCAGCTGCTGTTTGACCGCGGGCTTGAGGCTGTGCTGCAAGAGCACTTGCGTGAGCGAGAGCGGGCCAACGCCGCGGAGGGCAGCGAGCAAGGCGGGGGTCGCAGCAACCGCACGTATACGACGGTTGATGTGGGCGAGAGCGTGATGGTGACGGAAAGGCCCACCTCCACCGTCGACATGCCGGAATTGCCGCTCTCCTCCTGGGGTCTCAGACAGCGGCTGGCGCGTGATGTGGCTTGTGGCATGGCCTTTATCCACAGCCTCGACCAAGTGCACAGGTGTGTGTGTGTGTGTGTGTGTGTGTGTGTGTGTGTGTGTGTTTGAGAGGGGGGGTTGGGGAGCGGTTGTATCTCGTTTGTTTCTTGTGTTCCATTGAGTTGTGTGGTACATGTTTGTTTCTCTCGTTGCCCCGCAAGTCACCCACACATTCATTCACACACACACACACGCACACACACACACACACACATACACACACATACACACACACACGCACACATCCGCAGGGATTTGAAGAGCGGCAACGTGCTGGTGTCTGCGCATTTGCGTGCGAAAATCTCGGATTTCGGATCTATTCGCCAGAAGCTGGCGACCGGCGCACGGCACACAGCCGGCACGAATGTGGACGGGAAAGCTGACGAGAACAGCATCAAGTACTCACGCACGCTCGGCGCCACCACCATGCACCTAACCATGACAGCTGGCGTGGGCACACCCATGTACATGGCGCCGGAGGCCCTGTATGGGCACGAGTACGGCCTCAAAGCGGACGTGTTCAGCTTTGGCGTGCTGCTGTGGGAGATTGCCTGCGTGCAGCACCCCGACATCATCTCGCAGGAGTATGGCGACTCGTTTGACGGACCCCTCTTCCCCACCCTCAAACAACTCCTCGAAGACGGCAAGCGCCTCAAGTTCTCAGGTGTGTATGTTGATGTGTGTGTGTGTGTGTGTGAACGTGTGTGTGCGTGTGCGTGTGTGTGTGTACGTATGTGCGTGTGTGTGAACGTGTGTGTGTGTGTGTGTGTGTGTGTGAACGTGTGTGAACGTGTGTGAACGTGTGTGAACGTGCGTGTGTGAGTGAATACTGTTTCCCTTCAATCGTACAACTACCTGAGTGATTGTCGAGCTGTGACGACCATCAGTGACTTCAGTCGCTCCAGCAGTGTGCGCTCTTGCTCACCCACCAGTTACGTTTTCGACACCTTCTCAGATGAGGCTGCAAGTCAGACGCCAACCTGGTACCGTGCACTCACGTACAAGTGCATGGCCCAAGATCCAGACGGCCGCCCTTCCTTCAAGCAACTGAAGACCAACCTCATGTAGTCTGCTGGCTGTTGTTTAAGTTGTTATTGTTGTTGTTGTTAAGTTGTTGTTGTTGTTGTTGTTGTTGTTGTTGTTGTTGTTGTTGTTGTTGTTGTTGTTGTTGCAGACTTGCAGAGCTGCTGCCTGTGGTCCTTCCCCCTGTTGCCGCTGCCGTTGAAAGTAGCATGCTTGCGTTGACCTTGTTCTGTTCTCTTGTCTCCAACAGACCAGCCCTTGCCGCCCCCCCCCACTCGCCCGCTCTGTGTGTGACATTGTTGTCTTGTGGCTGCTCGCTTCTGTTGCCTTGTTGCCTTTGGCAGCCCGTAGAACTCATTTCCTCTTCACCCATGGTTTTAGAACGTTTACATTAGTTTGTACCCTCCTACTCCTAACCAACCCTCTGTTCCGTTGGCATGCAGCGTGCAGTGGTCTGGTCTGGTTGCGAAGGAGTGTTCTAGTGTAGTAGTGTTTGACATTCCCCTTTCCGTTCCTTGTCATTAGAGCCTACCACTGTGAAACGTGCGTTGTGTGCGTCGTGTGCGACGTGACGTGGGAGTGCTAGAGCAGGAGAGAGGGTGTGTGTGTGTGTGTGTGTGTGTGTGTGGGTACGTGTGTGTGTACGTGCATGGGTGGGAGAAGAGAGAGAGAGAGAGAGACTGAGAGAGACTGAGAGAGAGAGACCAACACAAGAACACACACACACACTGCGCAGGCAACGGTTGTTTGTGGCATCTTTCGTAAATAATCGGCACAGCGGTGAAAAAAATACAAAAAAATAAATCCAACCAACTGCTCGCTTGCTTGCTTGTTGTCGTTGGCTGAAAAGGAGGAACAAGAGATACACACCCACTCACTCGCCAACACAACCTCCCCTTGCCACCGCAACGCACAACACACAACGCACGACGCTGAAGGAGACTTCGCTCGGTTTGTTTGTGGACACACCCTCCCGACCTGCGCTCCACTGGCTATCACAGCAACGGCATCGTCATCTCCGGAGCCACACAGGCAGACAGACAGACAAACAGACAGACAAACAACAGCCATGAGCAAGTTGGATGCGTTGAGAGCAGAGCACGAGTCGCTCCTGGCTCGCCTCACAGAACGCCGCCGCGCTGTCCGCGACACAGACCTGCAACAGGTGAGAAGAGAAAAGGGATATAGCACCGTGTGTCATGTGTTTGTGTATGTGTGTGTGTCATGTTTGTGTGTATGTGCGTGTGTGTGCGTGCGTGGGGGAGGGGAGACGTGGAATTAATTGTTGGGTGTGGGTGGGTATGTCTCTGTGTGTACGATTTGTGGCTTGTATCGGTGTGGAATTTGTTTGTGTTCGTGCAGTCTGTCGTGAACACCACTGTATTCGCTCCTCGCTCGCACCACAAAACAACACAACATCGCCACACATACATACATACACACACGTGCACACACACACACACACACACACACACACACACAAAATGGCGTGTACATCCTGCGATCAGGTTGCCCTTGGCGTTGACTCGCTTGGAATGCAGTATTCACTGCGCCCGCGCCGCGTGCTCCGGGGCCACTTTGGCAAGATTTACTCCGTGCACTGGGCATCAGACTCACAGCACCTTGTCAGCGCATCGCAAGACGGCAAGCTCATCGTGTGGGACGCCTACAACAACGCAAAGGTGCGTCAATGTTCTTGTTCTTGCTCTTGTTCTTGTTCTTGTGCGCGTGCATGGACATGGGTGATGTGCTGGTGGTGTGACACGTTTGCAACGTTTCACGTATCATTGCCTCCCTCACCACGCCCAACGACAACACGCTGCATGCGTCCCTTTTAAAAGGTGTTTGCCATCCCACTTCGGTCCAACTGGGTGATGACGTGCGCATATTCCCCGTCTGGGTTCTACGTGGCCTCTGGCGGCCTTGACAGCCTGTGCACCGTCTTCAACCTCGAGAAGCAGGACGAGCAGAACGGCGCCGTGCACCAGGAGCTCGCATACCACACCGGTGCGTGGCTTGCTCCGCTACTACTGCTGCTGCTGCTGCTGCTGTTGTTGTTGTTGTTGTTGTTGTTGCGCATGTGTATGTGTATGTGTATGTGTATGTGTATGTGTGACTTCAACGATTTGTGTCAAATGAATGGTGCCCTTGCCCCTCCATCCCACATGAACCTCCCTCCCCCTCTGCCTCTCTATCGCAGGCTTCCTTTCCTGCTGCCGCTTCCTCAACGACCGGCAGATCCTGACGTCGTCCGGCGACAAGACGTGTGCGCTGTGGGACATTGAGCGGGCAAAGCCCATCACCGTCTTCACGGGCCACACGGGTGATGTCATGAGCCTCAGCCTGAGCCCGGACAAGCAGACGTTTGTGTCTGGTGCGTGCGACTCGACCGCCAAGCTGTGGGACATGCGTGATGGCAAGTGCAAGCAGACCTTCCACGGCCACGACGCCGACATCAACACCGTCGACTTCTTCCCAAGCGGATACGCATTTGGTGCGCGCAGACAAGGATGATGATGATGACATTTGTGTGGATGTGCGTGTGTTTGCTTTTGTGTTTGGGTGTATGTGTGTTTAATGCGTATGTGTGTGTGTGTGTGTGTTTGGGTGTGTGCAGAGAAAAAGCGTACTGTGCGCCCAATACTTTTTCTTTCGTTCGTTCCTTCGTTTGCCCCCCCCCCACCCTCGCCCTCACTGTGTGGCATGTTTACATGTGCGTGTTGCCTGCAGGCACTGGTTCGGACGACACGACGTGCCGCCTCTTTGACATTCGCGCCGACCAGGAGGTCAACGTCTTCTCCTCCGAGCGCGCAAAGTGAGGCGCGCGCTGCTGTGCGCGGTGTATGCATGTACACACTGCCACACACACACACAGTGGCTTTTACCACTCTCACCAGCATGACCCTGCTTCGTGCGTGCGTGTGTGTGTGTGTGTGTGTGTGTGTGTGTGTGTGTGTGTGTGTGTGTGTGTGTGTGTGTGTGTGTGTGTGTGTGTGTGTGTGTGTGTGTGTGTGTGTGTGTGTGTGTGTGTGTGTGTGTGTGCCACAGGGCGGGCGTGACCTCTGTTGCGTTTTCGAAGAGCGGGCGGCTGCTGTTTGCCGGCTATGACGACTTCAACTGCAACATCTGGGACACCCTGCGCGGCGAACACATTGGGGTCCTCGCCTCACACGAGAACCGTGTCTCATGCCTTGGTACGCTGCTGCAAGGGCGAGGCAGGGACGAAATGTGTGTGTGTGTGTGCGTGCGTGCGTGCGTGCGTGTGTGTGTGTGTGCGTGCGTGCGTGCGTGTGTGTGTGCGTTCAACAAGCATGTAGCTATTGTCTGTGGCTGTTTTGATTACTTATTCCATCCATCCATCCATCAATCCTTCCTTCCTTCCATCCCTCCTTCCATCCACCCTTCCTTCATGGGTGCAATGCTGCCTGTTTGTGTTCCACCACTTGTTTTGCACACCCCCCGTTCCTCACCCCCACCCCCCCCCCCTTTGCAATGCGTGTGCTCACGTGACCCCCCCCCATGCCATATCATGTCACTCAGGCGTATCGGACGATGGTGTTGCGCTGTGCACCGGCAGCTGGGATCAAACCCTCCGCATCTGGACCTAAGCCCTTCCCCCACACCCTTGAACACATACACACTCTCACTCACACACTCACACACTCACACACTCACACACACACACACACACTCACACACTCATGCACCCGTGCACTCACAAGCACAAGCACATACACACACACATCAATCGTATGCCCCCTTCCTCTTGTCGTCGTCAGTCGCTCTTGGATCTTCAGCTGCTCTCTGGCTCTCGTGCTGTTGTGTTTCTTTGTGCTTGTGTGGGCGCATTTCCTTCTTCGTCTCCTTTTGCTTCTGTTGTTGACTAAGAATGTGCTTTCGTTTCCAATCACTGTCTGCCTTTTTGGTTTTTGTGTGTGTGTGTGTGTATGTTTTGTGCAGTGTGTTGTCTATTTCCTGTGCACCCCACATGCACTCGATTCTCGTTTTGGGTTGTGTCCACTCGTTCTTCTCCCTTGACCTGTTCTTCGACCTGCTTGTTTTTTTCCTTTCCTCTCTCTCACTCTCACGCACGCACACACACTCACTCACACTCACGCACGTTGGCCGTTGCTTCTCTGTGTTCCTGTGATAGAAAGCGTGCGCGCATGCTCCTCGTTGTGCTCCTGTCGTTGTTGTAAAATGTGTACATCGATTGGTGCATTCATGGTTGCATGTTGAACACAGAGAGAGACAGAGACGTATGGAGGAAGCGAGAGAGTGGCACGCACACACGAACACACACACACACACACACACACACACACACACACACACACACACACACACACACACACACACACACACACACACACACACACACACACATGCACACACACGCATACACCGAATTCATGTGAAGATGTGGTGAATTTTCCAGGACCGTTTCTCGCTTCCTCCACGACCAACGTCGTCACACACATCCTCATCACCACGCGCACAAACGCGTGCACACACCCCTCTCACATTGTCACACCACCTCCTCTCCTCCCCAGCCAGTCTTTGTGTTTGTTTACATTGGCTGCTTCTCAACCACAACAACCCCCTGTAAACAAACGCACCAGCCACACACACACACACACACACACACACACACACACACACACACACACACACACACACACAGGCCTATCCTCTCGACCCCTTCAGTCAACCAATAGCACAAGAGGTGCGGCAGGACGGCAAGCAAGCGAGCAAGCGAGCATAAGGCATGGACGCGCTCTCGCGGGTCCTCTCCGTCCGAGTGGACCTCCACAGCAAGGAAAAGGCATACCAACAGGATGCAGCTGCACTGTATGCTTGGATTGACGCCAAAACCACCTGGCTCAGGTCCTGTCCTGTCGACGCGCTCCTCTCCAAGCGCGCCATCGCCAGCAACAGCAACCGGCCGCAGCAAGCCAGCACTCAAACCGCCGCCACCCACGACGACGACACCGTTGCAACAACCCCCCTCTTCTCGCAGCAGCTCATCTCCCACTTGAAAGAGGACCGCCCGGACCATGCGTCTCGCCTGGCGCGGCTGGGCCGCCTGTTCTCCGATATCCAGCTGCAGCGCCATCTGCATGGCATGCACCCGTTCTCGCCAACCACAGCAGCAGCAGCAACAGCAGCAGTGACCGCCGCCTCCGTCTCCCTGTCCATGGCGTCACTCGAGCTCAAGTGGCAGGCACTTCTGGACGCGGAGAAGGCGGCCATTGAGCGTGCCACGCGCGTGACGGCGGATGCTGCGCAGCAGGCGCAAACCATCCGCGCACTTGAAGCCAAGGCTTCGCTGGTTGAGCGGCACCTCTCCCGTGCAGAGCAGCGGCTCACCGCCCTTTCTTCCAAAGGTGCCAATGACACCGCCACCGCTGACGGTGCCGCTGCTTGTACCGAGTGCGCTGTGCAGGTGTACAAGAGCCTGCTGCACGTTGGCGTGCGCGTGCACACGTTGCTGGGTGCCGTCAACACTGCGCTGGAGCAGCAGGCGGCCGACCAAGGCGGTGAAGAGCCGGCTAGCATGGCATCCTTGTCGCAGAGTGCGCGTGCATCAATCTCCACGCCTACACCAAAGACAGCAGCGTCGTCATCGTCATCGTCATCGTCATCGTCTGCGCTGTCGGCCCAGCGTGCGCGCGCGTATGAGCTGCAGCAGCGGTGGTCGCGGCTGTGCGACGAGGCCGGCATGCACGTTCGCCGGTCCCGCGGTCGTGCTGCCGCTGCACAGGTGATGTCACGGCTGCGCAGCTTGGATACAGGGGTGACTCGCATCACCGCTATCGCCGGCACTGCTGCCACTGCCACCGATACAGCCTTGTCCGCGTCCTCATCGTCCACGTCGTCGTTGTTGACCGGCGCTGGTGCTGCCGATGCTGTTGCCGAGACGCGTGTGCAGGCCATGCGCCAGACACTGGACGCATGCGAGCAAGAGGCAACGAGATTACACGACACGGTTGAGGCGCACGTGCTCGCCGCCCTCTCGCAACCCCTTCCTTCAACCGATGAGGACAGCACCACATGCCCCAGTGCACCTGCCGCAACATCAACGTCAACAGCAAACGCCACATCATCAACGTCATCAACATCAACGTCGCTGGCGTCGCTTCAGCCCGCCTCGTTCTGTGCACCGGTCAAGGCAGCGGCCAACACCATTCTTGCATCCGTTCGCAGTGCACGGCAGCAGCTGCGGGTGCAGCTGGACGCCGCCAAGTCGCACGTGACGCACATGGCCCTCTGTGACGCTGCGCGTGCACTGCATGAGCGCATGGATTGCCTGCAGGCAACGCTGGTGAGCTCGCTGGAGTGGCCACGCGAGGACGGCACGGCAGCCACCACAACTGCGGCTGCCATGACCGGGTGCTTGTCGCCCACCATCAAGGACGATGCCATTGCCAGTCTGCTTGAGCTCACGACCGCCCAGCCGCCACTCGCCACGGCTAACAACACCACAAATGGTGGCGGCGGCGGTGGTGATGGTGGTGGTGATGGTGGTGGTGAGAGTGACAGCAGCGCTCAGCGCGCACTGGTATCATTCTCGGGGCACCAGCAGGCGCTGTCCGCGTTGCCGCGTGTGCTTGATGTGCAGCACGTGGGCGGGGTTGTGTCGCGCCACCAGGTGTCACTGCTGGATCTCTCCCGTGAACTCGCCCTCCTCACGTCGCAGGCACGCTCCGTCGCACCAGCCACCCCGGCACAGGAGGCGCCAGCCACACCGGTGGACACTGCAAGCGCGGGATGCAGTGTGCACGAGCTGCTGCGCCGGGCGGAGCGGAAGATGGGCGCTTACCGCGCTGGCGTGGCGCGTGCACGCGCGTTTCTCATTGCCGTTCGCAGGGTGAGCGGGGTGGCGGAGGCGACAGCACGAGTTGCGCGTACCGCAGAGGACGTGCAGCGGCAAGTGCTCGCAGCCTGCCCAGCACCCAACGGCACCAGGGGTGGTGATGGTGATGCAGATGTGGGGACAGCTGCAGCCACCGTCACAGGAGCTGTGCCGCCTGATATTGCCACACCACCCGCATCGCCACCGCTACCACCGTCACCAACTGCAACAACTGCAACAGCAACAGCTGCAGATGGGGGCAAGAGCGGGTCGAAGCATGTGCAGTCGCCTGCGTCTTCGCTGTCGAGTGCACGTGCCCGCTCGCACCTGCGTGTGAGTGTGCGCGGGCTTCAGTCTCGAGCAAAGGCGCTGCTGCTGGATGTCACGGCGAAGATTGCGCAGAGCAGCAAGAGCAGCACGGCGGCTGCGAGCGGCGCAAACACCACATCCGCCGCCAGCCCACACGTTGCTCGCAAGACCCACGACCAGCAGCAGCAACAACAGCAACAGCAGCCGTCAGGTTTGAATGTGCACCTTCTGCAAGTGCCAGACCAGCAGCAGCAGCAGCAGAAGAAAGATTCCGGGGTGGCCTCCACACAGGGCCGCCAGCCTGCCGGTGCCAGCGTGGATACGCGCCGTGAGCAGGCTGCCCTGCTGGTGGCGCAGCTGACGCTTGACGGCGTGCTGTCCATGTGTGACGCGTGCATGGCGTGGCTGGATGATGCGCAGGCGTCAGAGGACGTGCGGGCAACGCGGGAGGCGGCAGCAGCGCAACTGGCTGGCCTGTGCCACCGCGCCGATCGCACCATCTCAGCTGCAGCAACAACAGCACAGGCCACAGCAAGATCAGATGACGCAGTGAGTGCAACAGCATTGACAGCAGCAGCAACAACAACAACAGCAACAACACACGGAGGTGGTGCTGCTGCGAGTGTGCATCGACAGCTTGCGCGCGCCATTCGCACCATGGTGCAGAGCGGGAATGCCAGCGACGGGATTGCTGTTGTGGGCGCGCCTGTGGCAGCGGTGGAGGCGGCGCTTGCTGCCGCGGCCAAGCTCGATGCCATTGCCCAAGCAGAAGAATTTGTCGAGGAGCACAGGCGCGTGTTGATGTCGCTCGTTGACTCCCTGGACGCCGTTGACAGAGCGTACCACCGCAACAATCAGCGTGATGATGACGACAAAGGCAGTGATGCTGGTGCTGGTGCTGGTGCTGGTGCCAATGAACGGCAGCAAGAGAACGATGGTGCAATGAATGCGCTATGGGACGACGTGTCGGTGTCGGATGCGAGCGCGGTGCTGCTGTTGCTGCAGCGCCGCCTGCACACCGCCGCCACATGTACGCAGCAGCTGGAGCTCATTCACGTCAAGCTGACGCAGCTGCAAACGCAGGTGGTGAGCGAACACGCGCGTGGTGGCGACAGCCAGGACACCGGTGATAACACGAGCACCTCCGGCGCTGCTGCCGCCAAACACAGCAGCAGCAGCAGCAGCAGCTTGGGGGATGCTGGTGCTGGCCGATTGCGTGGTGAGATTGCAGGCGTCATTGCGCGGGTGGTGCAGCAGCAGCAGCTGTGGCGTGCACGCCAGGCTGTGACGGACAAGTGCTTGCACACCATCACCAGCGCGTGTGCGCTCATGCATGCAGAGGTGGCGGTGCGCGACGCAGATGCAGCCGTGCAGCGTGTGCTGTCGTCGTGGGTGGAGCAGCCACTGCTCTCCAACGCAACCGACGGTGCGAGTGACAGGTCGTCGACTAGTGCGGGCAATGATGGCACCAGTCTGGCCAGTGCTGACGTGGTTAGTGTCATAGGTACCATGGTGCACGACGCTGTCTCGACCGCAGAACAATGCCTGCAACAGCAGCAACAGCAGCAGCAGCAGCACGGCATCGACAACGACAACCGTGACACCACCGCACTGCCGTCGCCATCAAGTGCGCTGGCAGCGGCGGTTGGCGTATCTGCACGCACGGCGCACGTCATCGCCGTGCTGGCGCAGCGTGTGTCCGCAGCACAGGCACCAGCATCCACACGTCGTGAGAGCGACGCTGTGGTGCGTGTGGAGGGCCTTGTGCAGCAATTGCAGCAACGTCAACAGCTGCTGACCTCGGCCTGCCCACTCTTGTCCAAGCAGCGCGCGCTCGTGTCCGTGCTTGCAGGCATGCGTGGCGAGGTGCAAGCGCTGCTGGCTGCTTGTCCCACGCCGTCCGTTGTCGTGTCAGCGGACCAGGTCCAGCGGACACTCGCCAGCGCACAACGCAGTGCCGAAGAGTGCACACGCATCGACACCCACGCCACACGCCTGCAGTCGGAGTGCGAGGCCGTGTACAACGCCCTTGTGGACCTCACCACCACCGCGAGCAATGGCGCAGGCCGTTCAACGAACACCGCGGCCGTGTTCATCTCCGCGGACGCGTTGACAAACGTTGGTCGCCATCGCAGTTGCGGTGATAGCGAGCAGGATGATGGTTGTGGTGATGGTGATGACGACGACGACGACGATGCTGATGCATCAACAGCATCTGCGCACAGTGTGGTTGATCTGTGCCAGCGCGTGTGTGCGCGTGCGCGTGCAGGCAACGAGTTTCTCGGCGCCATTCAGCGCCATTATCAACAGCGGCTGCAGCTGTTGGCCGTGCATGCGCGCGTGCGGGATGTGCTCACGTCCCTCAACACGACCTCGACCCCCGCCGCCGGCCCCGTGGCGACGCCAAGTCGCGTGTGGGAGACGCTGCGTGACACGCTGGACCAAGTGGAGATGGAGCTTGCACACGTGAGCCCATCAGCTGGCACAAACACCACAGAAGCAGCCGACGCAGCAGAAACCACGACCACACTGCCTGCCGCTCTGAACAGCGTGGTGTCGGCGGCCGCGTCACTGCTGTCCTCTGTGCACGCGAACGTTGAGCATGACCTTGAGCGCGCGCGCCAGCAGCTGCGCGCCAAGGAGGCGAAGATGAAGGCCGTGCAGCAGCAGCGCCTTGCACGCGACGAGATGCTGGCGCGCGTGGCAGCGGCTGGCACGGTGGGCGCAGAGGTGGAGCGTGTGCGCCGGCAGGTGGAGGGTGTTGCTGTGTATGGTCACCTGAGCGGCAGCGAGCTGAAGGGCAAGCACCGTGTGCTTGAGTCGCTCCTGGTGCAGGTTGACGCGCTTGAAGCCCAGCTCGCCCAAACTCAAACTCAACCCCAAGCTCAACCCGAACCCCAAACCGACACGCGCGCGGCGCCAAGTGGTGCCTCGGCCTCTACTTTGACGACAAACATGCACCACGAAGGCTACGATGACAGCCACGAGGATGCTGCAGATGTCAGCAGCAGCAGCAGCAGCAGCAGCGGTGCTGGTGATGGCGTTGGCAGAGGCAGTGATGGTGTTGGGACGCGTGGTGCAGTGCAGCCGTCGTCGTCCCCCGCCCTCGCTGTGGCGGCCGTCCGCGCTGCCATTGACCAGAAGATGCGCGTGCTGCAGCACCTGCTACAGTATGCAGACTTTAGGCAGGAGGCGCTTGCGTTTGTGGCGTGGCTCGACAAGACTGAGAAGCAGCTGCAAGGGCAGGGCGCAAACGCGCATGCGGCGACAGCGGCGGCGACAGTACAGGAAGAGGCGCGCGTTGCGTCGCTCGAGCTTGGCTTCAAGGACCGGCAGGCCGAATACGAGCAGCTGCTGGAGACGGGCCGTTGCCTGCAGGCAATCGACCACGGGGCAACGCAGGACGTGCTGGCGCTCTCTGACCTGCCGTCGATTGTTTCGCGGGTGGAACGGCGGTGGGCGCGTGTGCAAACGGTGCTTGCGCGACGCAAACGCGTGTTGCAGGCCGATGCCGCGTTTGTGAAACTTCAGGAAACACTGGACGAGCTTGACCTCACATTTGCAAACGTCAAGGTGCGTGTGCTTTGTGTGTGTGTGTGTGTGTGTATGTGTATGTACTACTTTGAGCTGTGTTTTAATCGGGTGTACTTGTCACTTTCCTCATTTCGCATCCCACACACACACACACACTCTCTCTCTCACTCTCACTCTCTCTCACTCACTCTCACTCACACACATGCACATACACTCACACACGCACGCACTCTCGCGCTCACACACAATCTCGCGCTCTCACACATGCACATACAGGCTGTGCTGGGCGAGGACACTGTGAGTGCCGTGTGCAAGCCCCAGGCAGCGCACCAGCTGACCCGTGTGGTGGAGGCGGCGGCTGCGCAGCTGACAGATGTGCGATCACGGTTCGCCTCCACCTTGGATGCCACGCTTGGCACGAGCGATGTGACCGCCCTGGCAGCCGCCCCGACGCCGCCGCCGCAGCACCTGCAGTACCGTGTGGAGGATGTGGCGACGGAGCTTGACGAGCTTGAGGCGCTGGTGGGCGAGCGCACACAACGGCTGGCGGCGTGCGCAGCGTTCTCGGAGCACGCGCAGTCAGCAGGGGATGTGCACGTGTGGCTTGACGGCCTTCAGGACACGGTGCAGGCATTGGAAGAGGAGCAGCGGTACGCGTGCAGGGACGAGGCTGATGACGAGGCGGTGATGAGCAAGTGCGCTGCGGCGCTGGCCAAGGTTGACGCGCAGGTGGCTGTGGTGTCATGGTTGCGGGACGCGGACACGGCGCCCGATACGGATGCTGCCCACAGCGCGCTTGCACGGCTGAGCGACCTGCAGGCGCGCATTGCAGGTGTGCAGGCGCGTGCGGAGACGGCAAAGAGCGTGCACGCGCAGCTTGCGTCTGTTGCCTCTGTGGAGCAGCACATTCGCCGCAAGACAGTGCTTGTGCGCAGCGCCCGCGATGCTGCCGCTGATACAACAACGACGATCACCAGCAACAGCAGCACGACTGCCATCACGTCAGCATCGGTTAGCGCTGGTAGCAGTAGCAGTAGTAGTAGTAGTAGTGGCGGTCTTGCCGGTTTTGTTTCTCGCTGGCGCCAGCTTGAGGGCGAGGTGGCAGAGCTGCTGGGGCAGGGACGTGGCAAAATTGACGCGTGCAGCGAACTGGCAGCCAGCCACCCGGCACACGCGGGCGAATGTGACGAGCGGCGACACCACCTGGCCGAGGCCATCGCGTCGCTTGAGGAGGAGCACGCAGAGACGACCAAGCTCAGCACGTGCTGGGCCACAATGCGCAAGGCGCAGGCTGTGCAGGAGCAGCTGGATGCCAACCTGGCCGGCGTTGGACGCGAGATGGACGGCGTGGAGCGCATGTTTGTTGACGCGTGCAGCGGTGCTGGCGGTGATGCTGGTGGTAGCGAGCTTGGCAAGGCCACCGCGACTGCTCATGTGGGTGAGGGTGGTTCCAGTCAACGTGCGAGCCAGGGCGCGCGTGCGCGTGTGTGGCTTGACCGGTTGGGTTACCTTCGCAACACAACAGCAGACATGCTGCCCCTGCTGCGCTCAGCGGTGAGCGACGTCAACGACACGTGCGCAGACCTCGAGCGGTTGCTGCAGCGCGTTGTCTTGGAGAGCAAGGGCGTTGATCCCGTGCGCGTAAGCAGGTTTGTGGCGAGCGTTACGCGACGCCAAGCTGTGCAAAACACCAACGAGCGTGCTGCTCTCTTGGAGGCCATGGCCACCCGTCTCTCCGCCATCCACGACACCCTTTACCGCATCGAAAAGGTGTGTTGTGTGTGCGTGTGTGTATGTGTGTTTGTTTGTTTGTGTGTGTGCGTGTTGTGCGTGTGTATGTCGTGTCGTGTCGTGTCGTGTTGCAAAGTCGTCTTGCGCTGTGTGCTTCGTACGCCAGTGCGTGCGTGTTGCCGGGCCGGGCCGTTCAGTGGTGCTGTATGTCACGTTTCTCCTTGCGTCTCGCTCACACATTGTGTGTGTGTGTGTGTGCGTGTGTGTGCGTGTGTGTCTGTGTGTCTGTGTGTCTGTGTCATTGCGCGCATTCCTCCCTTTCCCCGCCCCCCCCCCCTCTTTTTTTTTTTTTTTCTTGGCTTGTAGTTGGAGAACTGGATGGAGGTGCACGGGCGGAACGTGAACAAGCACGCGTTGTCGAGCGACGCGACGGTGCCGGCCATGTTGGACGAGCATCTCACGCTCGAGCGTCTCATTCTTCAACAAGACGCCGCTGTTCGTGCCCTGAAGCAGGCCTGGGCGTGATGTGACACCCGCCACACCATGCCTGTCACGTTTCCTCTTGTGTGCGCAGCATGTTTGCCTTTGCTTCCCCCCACCCCGGCACAAACACACATGGACTGTGACACCCGAACTTGGTCGCACGTCTGTGGACTTTCATGAACACTCGGTTCTTGCGCGCCTTCTTTTCTTTCTTGTTCTTCGTTCTTCCACTCCACCCCTCCAACCTTCTCTTCCCCAGGCCAGTCACACAATCATACACCGCTTGCTTGCTTGCTCGTCTGTTGTTGTCGCGATATGTTGCCACCACGTTGTCACAGTTGTTATGTTGTTGACAGCATATACATTCCACGTCTACTTCCCGAAGCACATGACACTGACCGCGCGTGCATGCACAGGCGAGCAAGGTTGGGTTACAATGTCAGTTGTTGCGACGGTTGTGTTGTGATTTGAACAACGCACGCGCACGCAAGTGTGCGATGTGCACGTGGGGAGGTGTTTGAGGAATTTGAAGCGTTACAGGCCAAGCGAAACCAAACTTCGAACCTTTTTCCAAGGAAAGCGCTGACCTTTGCTGACGACGTCAGGCATTGTCACGACCATCCCAACCACAAGCAACACTCGTCTCGTCATTTGCTGTCACACCGTTGTCCTACATTCAAACGTGCAGTGGCTGCAACGTTGCTCAAATACAGAAAAGCCCCATTTGAGCAACGGGAGATGCGAGCTGCACGGGCTGACACAAGTCATTTGGTGACGTCATTTGCCCCTTTCGCGAAGCGTTTCGCAGAAATGCAGACGGCGTTTGGTTGTGCAAACCTTGCGATCGAATGTACGCAATGCGAAGGCGGAGAAGGTGGCAATTGGACACAAACAACAGAGCAGAGCAGTTGGCTGACGCAAAGGCTCTATGTCGTGCATCTGCGTCGATGTCGACAACAAACGCACGCGGCAGAAGCACCAGCACCAACAGACCAACAGCATTTTCTCAATCTTCCCACTCGGCGCACCACTTCAGGAAGCCCTAGCTACTACTAGCCACCCTCTCTCAGAACTACCCAGCCACCCAAGACGTTCACGATGTATGGCTTCATGCACCAGGTGAGCCTATGGGCTGTGTGGTGTAGTCGTGTGTTGGTCGCTGTCTGTTCATTGTGGTTGCGTGTGAGTGACTTTCGGGGGTGCTTTCGTGGGCAGACGGGCCGCCTCACGTAATCAATGATGGCGTGGGTGGCAAGTGCTGGAGTGCGAGAGGCTCGGGTGACAATCGAGTTGTGGCAGCAGCCCTTCTTTATGCCCTCCGATCGACAGCTTGTGCATCACCTGTGTATGATGAGTGAGTGGCTTGTCTCAGGATGCCCGCATGCTACTCCGTGTGTGGACACGTCACTGACATCCACAGACACACCAGTCAGCCTCATGTGGCATGACTCCGCATGTGCTTCCTTCCTCATCCCTCACATTACGTCGACGCATTGACATGGCGATGCCACGCCATTCATTGTCATTGCATCTCTGCGTCTCCGTAGGCCCTGAAATCATGGCTGCTGTCCATGGACAACGGTGAGTACCTTCTCCAAGAAGTGTACGAGGAACTCAACCTGGACACGGCACCAGACGACTTCTTCCGCTACTACTCCGACGCGCAGACCATGAAGTTTCTCGAGTTGGTCGCAAAGGTGCGTGTTAAATGTGTGTGTGTGTGCCTGTGTGTGTGTGTGTGCCTGTGTGCCTGTGTGTGTGTGCCTGTGTGTGTGTGTGTGCCTGTGTGCCTGTGTGTGTGTGCCTGTGTGTGTGCGTGTGTGTCTGTGTGTGTGTGTGTGTCTGTGTGTGCGTGTCTGTATGCCTATGAGCCTGTGTGCCTGCCTGCCTGTCTGTCTGTGTCTGTCTGTCTGTGTGCGCGTGTGCGTGGAAAACGGCTGGAGCAGCTGACCGAGCCCAGCCTGCTTGTGATTGCTTCGGGCCATCATTCTCGTTGCTCACCGCTGACACTGCCTGCTTCCACCTGCTCCTCACGTCATGACTCCCTCCCCCTTCCATTGCTCCTCAGGCGGCCGACACGTCTGTGGACAGGTGCATGTACGAGGCCGGCAAGGTGTCCATGGGGACCTTCACACGCAACGGATACGAGCCTGTGCTGCGCACGCTGGGCAAGGACTTTTACACCATGCTCACCAACCTGGACAGCCTGCACGACAACTTCCTTGCCGCGTTCCCGGAGATGAAGGTGCCCTCATTACGGCCCGAGCGCCTGTCCCACGACTCCATGTCCATTCATTACTACAGCCAGCACCACGGCCTTGCTCCCTTTATGATGGGCGCCCTGGAGTGCGCTGCAAAGATGCTATATGATCTGGACATTGACATCCACCACCGCCTCAAGCGCGGCAAGGACAGCAACCACGACGTCTTTCACGTCTTTGTGGATCCAAGGTACATGTACCCACACGCACGCACGCACACCATCTGTGGTGCAGCCCACTTCTCTCACCCTCTATGTTTCTCCCTTCTCCCCCTATTCTCTTGCTTTTCGCCATTGATGTGCATGTGTTGTGTCCTTTGTTGCCCTCCACTGCCTGCATCACATTGTCCCCTCACTGCACACCCCAAACACCACCACCACCATGCCACCACCACCACCACTCAGGGCGTTTCCCGACGACATGCTTTCGACAGCGGAGAGCACGAAGAAGATGTCGACAATGCAGCTGAACCGTGACATGACCAGCAAGCTCTTTCCCTGGCACTTTGCCGTCAACCGAAGCATGGAGATTGTGTCGCTCGGGAAGCATCTCGCCACGCGCATGAAGGCAGACTCGATGGGCATGCACGCGAAGAACCTGTTCCACATTGTGCGGCCTGTCGATGTCAAGTGGGAGTTCAACGACATCAAGGCGCGAGCGGACAAGCCGTTTCTGGTTGCCACCAACGCCAAGCGCATGCTGACACCAGAGGAGCTCGCACAGGCGCAGGCTGATTGCCACCTCCACGGCGGTGACGATGAGGATGGCGGTGACAACGTTGACGGCAATTCGTCCCTGCGCAAGGCCAGCTCGGAGAGCGAGACGCAAGACAGCGCAGTTGAGCTTGGTGGCGAGGCAAGGGAAGGTGCAAGTGATGCGGGCGGGCAGCGCAGACGGCGGCAGGCGGAGAACGGTGCGCTGAACGAGAGTCAACAGCACGAGCAGCACGACGAGCAGCAGGAGCAGTGGCAACGCTGGCAGGATCAGCGCCACCGCAGCGCCGACGACAGCGCACTTGGCGACCAGCTCGACCACGCTAAACGGGCATCACACCCTCAAAGCCGCGGCCGGTCTGGAAAGCGACAGCACAGACAGCAACACCATCAGCACGCGCACCTTCAGGAACATGGCCTGCGGCGACAACCGCGCTCCGCCATGCAGTTACAAGACTCCATGCAATCGATGTGGGACGAAGGGCACGCCGCAACCAGCCACGTCGGCAGTAGCCTCGGAAACGCTCATCATCATCAACAACAACAGCAGCACCGCCACCACCGCCGCCATCACCACCGGCATTTGGACACGAAGCAGCGGTCTAACCATTCGCTGCGCCGCAGCCACGATGCCGTCACGCGCGAGGTTGCGGAGCTGACTCGCGCCATGTCAGGCAGCCGTCTCTCTGCCACCGCGTGCCCCATGGGAGCATTCGCTGGCGCTGTTGGGGACCGAAGCGATGCGTCGTCAACGTCCATGGTGGGGTCTGGCCGCAGCAGCGTGGATCTGCTGGAGATGAAGGCGCGGCGGCTGCGCAGCACAGACACGATCAAGCTGCACGGCGAGATTGTGTACGACGAGGAGCAAGACGTGCTCGTGTTCGTCGGCAACCCGCTGGTGCAGTCCCTGGAGGAGATGGAGGAGCAGGCCATTGACCTGTCGGACATGCCCGTGCACTGCCACGGCAGGGAGGTGCTGTATGGGTCCATGTACCAGACGGTGTCTGCCACCAATTCAAATCAGATTGAGGCCAAGCTAATGGAGCTTGATCGCTCACTCGCAGAAGTCCACTCCAAAAAAGAGCAGATTGACAAGCTGCTGCACAGCATCCTTCCACAGGTGAAGAAGGACGAGAGAGAGAGAGAGAGAGAGAGGTGTTGTGTGTGTGTGTGTGTTTGTATGTGTTTGTACGTGCGTGCGTGCGTATGTGTTCGTTCGTTCGTTTGTTTGTTTGTTAGTTTGTTTGTTAGTTTGTTTGTGTGTGTGTGTTCATGTGCGCGTGTATTAAATGCCATGCATGTCGCTCACATTGCACCTGGCTTCCATTGCTGTCGTGTCTACCAGTCTGTTGCCACTCCACTGGCCAATGGCGTCATCCCTCCGCCAAAGTCCTTTGACTGCGTGAGTTTGCTCGTGATGTTTTGTTGCGGTGCGTGTGTGTGTGGGTGTGTGTGTGGATGGGTGTGTGTGTGTGGGTGTGTGTGTGTGGGTGTGGGTGTGGGTGTGGGTGTCACGAGGTGGAGGGAGGATTGTTTGGGGAGCTGTTCTTCGTGGTTCTCGCTAAACACTGCTGTGGTGGTGTGGCATTCTGGACAGGTGACTGTATTGTTCTGCGACATTGTTGGCTTCACCAACATCTCCGCGGAGATTCCCTCGCTTGAGGTGAGCCAGGGCTAAATGTGCTTACACATGTGTGTGCATGTGCTGTACGTGTTGTGCCCCGTGCGTGTGTGCGTGTACGTGTTGTGTGTGTGCGTGTGTGTGTGTGTGTGTGCGTGTACGTGTTCCATGTGTGCGTGTGTTGTATGTGCGATTACATAACTAACGATCACCCGTGCGCGTGTTGTGCTCCGCCCTCTCTTGACTCGTTGCCCAGGTGATGGACATGCTACATCATCTGTTCTCCAAGTTTGACCAGCTCTCTGACGAGCACGGCTGCTACAAGGTGGAGACGATTGGCGACGCGTACATGGTCGCCGCCGGCTGCCCGGAGCCGTGCGAGGACCACGCGCTGCGCATTGCGCGTCTGGCGCTTGCGCTTATCCGCGCTGCGCAGACGGTTGTCTCGCCCATGGATGGCGAGCCGATTCGCCTGCGTGTTGGCCTGCACTCTGGCCCGCTCATCACGGGTGTGGTCGGCACCACGCGTCCGCGCTACTGCCTCTATGGTGACACCGTCAACGTCGCCTCGCGCATGGAGAGCAACGGTATTCCCGGATGCATTCAGGTGCGTGCTTTGTTTGGGTGTGTTTCGTGTGTGCGTGTGCTTTTGTGTGTGTGTGTGCTCTCTGTGTGTGTGTGTGTGTTCTGTGTGTGTGTGTGTGCTGTGTGTATGGCAACCTTGGGCTGTGCTCTCTGTGTGATTGCCGAAGATACCATCACTCACATTTGTTCACACACACGCGCACACACGCACACACACTTCAACCCACACGCACACACATCATCCCACTGAAGGCGACGTATCGGTTTCTGCGGTGTCTACCTGAGCACCACGGGCTGATTGTTGCGTCGCGCGGTACGATCAACGTCAAGGGCAAAGGCCCAATGAAGACGTTCCTGGTGCTTGGGGAGCAAGGGTCACTGGAGCCACCTCTGGTGCCGGAGGGCGATGACGAAAGCAACAACGTGAGCGAGGAAGTGAAGCAAGCGGCCATGTTGAGCATGCTGCAGACGCGCTACGCACGACGAGGCAGCTCGCAGCTTGTGCCACAGCAGGTGTCTGCCTACCTCCAACACAGCAGCCCAGGATGTGGTTGATAGTGATATGGTGGAAGTAGTGAAAGGGGCGTGAGGGGCGGGGGTGGTGACTGAAGAAGGAAGGGAATGAGTGTGTGAGTGTGGGGTGCAACATATTGCCTTTCTCTCGGTTTGGATGCTTTGGCTTGCTTCGATATATGTATGTTCTTTACTTCTTGCGCATCTCCCCTGTACCATCAAAAGTAGACCAGCGTTGTTCACTATCACGAGACTGCGAGCGGAGAGGGGCGACTTGAGTGGCTTGGGTGGCTTGAGGAACTCGTCACAAGAGATCACACACACACACACACAACACGAACTCACATGTCACATCATGTGTAATATCTGTAACACCACTGGAGCATAACACTGAAGCGCAATGGAATTGTAACTCTTCGCGTGCTCTTGCTGACTTGCTTGCTTGCGTGCTTGACACACGCACCTCGTTTGTGGACGTGTGACATGAACAAACACACCACAGCAGCCACAGACATCGGAGACCGCTGGACCTCTCACAAGACAGCCACCCTGTATTCTTCCTTTCACAGCATGAAGTGTGTTGCTTGCTGCCTGCGTGCATGTCTGCGTGTGTGCTTGTCGACAGAGCAACAAGCAGGAGGAGAGATTTGCGCGTTTGCACGGTTGCTCAGCCGACTCATCCCTCTGCAAGCTCCCTCACCCACACCCACACATCCACACCCACACACACCCACACACACACACACACACACACACACACACACACACACACACACACACACACACACACACACACACACACACACACACACGCACACGCGCACACACACACACACACACAACCACGCGCGCTGCAGCGACGAAGACAAGCAAGCTCAGCCGAAGCAGCAGTCAGCAGAGCGCCGGCGCCCACACCGTCTCGTTGTCGAGGATGCCGTCAACGATGATGGCTCTGTTGTGGTTTCGAACCAAGCCATCGAGCGCGAGGATGAAGACATTGCCGGCTGCTGCAATGGTATTGCTTGCTTCTTGCTTGTGTCTGCTGGTTGGCTACAGCATTTGAGCAACAACCGAAACGCCTCACGTACATTCCCCTCTCATGTTAGCCCGCTACTCACACACGCAAACACACACACACACACACACACACACACACACACACACACACACACACACACACACACACACACACACACACACACACACACACACACAGCACCGTCGTCGGCCTTACAGCAGAAAGAACTGGCAAGCCCAAGATCACTGGCAATGGCCACTGTTGTCCTCAACCTACGTCAACGAAATGTCTTCCAGGAGACTGTGCTGAGATACCTCAACAGCTCTACTCCTGGTTGTATCGTGGTGCGTTTGGGTGGCTACTCGACAGACGATGCAATTGCTGAACTGAACAAGCACCTGTCGGCGAGCTGGCTCAGCAACTTCCCTTCGACAGTAACCCATCGCCTTGTGCTGCACGGGGCTGGTGGCCCACGGCACGCAGGCTCTCCTCTGCTGGAGTACCGCCAAGGTGCTACTAACCACGGCAACAGCCTCGTTGTGACCGTGCACCCGCTTCCGCTCGGCTGTGTTGGTTTTTTGAAGCCCCTGTCCATCCGAAGCGGCTCACACGCAGTTCCGCTTTCGACAACTGAGGCGGAACAGCGCATCGCGAAGCTGCCATGGCATGGCGTCGTCGACCGTGCATTGCTGCCCTATGACGAGGTTGTGCATGGCCCAATCTCCCTTGAAGTGCGGATCGGCCATCCCGTGGCGGCAGGGGACCATGCGGGCTGGGACGCAGAGCACAGCACATACGCGTTTCGCACAATGTCGCCTGATGTTCATCTGCACGAGGAATCGACACAGCTTGACTTCAAGTCCGGATGTGGCGACGCGAAGCATCCGCAGCTGTTCAGCAGCCCCCGCACGCTCACGAGCAAGTTGAGCTGCCTGCCCGAGCTCCTCAACGGATCAGAGGCTGCCCAGAGCGGCGTGTTCCTGGTGTATGGCGTCACGGATGACAAGGGCAAACCACACACGGCATTGGGCATGCTGCAGGATAAGGCCTCGTGCAGCACATGCACCATTTCGCATGAATACTTTGTGGATCTCCTCAGCAGCATGAACGAGGAGTTGCACGCGTCACTCTTCCCGCCACTGCCACCCAACAGCGGCTGTCTCACGCTGCACGAAGTGCAAGACTGCTGCACAGCGGTTCTGTCGGGCGATGATATCGGCGACGGTGACAACAGTGATGACAGCAATGACAGCAGCGAGCTTGTTGTCCACTTTTTCAGCGAAGAGGCAGCGGCGGCGGCACATCTCCGCAATGCTTTGGACGGCCATGGCGCAGTTCTGTATGCGCCACAGCATGCGCAACCATTCGCCATTGTCAGCGAGGCGGCGACACCATCGCACAAGGACGCCCTGCGCCTCCCTTCTGCACAGTTGCAGCAGCTCGTGATTGACCAGGGCTGGCAGCACCTGAAGCGATATGTGGTGGTCCTGCACCTGACACCGCCACCAGCGCACGTCGGCTCGTTCTTCAGCACCATGCGAAATGCGTCACCCCCCTCTGCCCCTGTCTACGAGACGGGCCCTGGCGGCCCACGTGCTGCATGGCTGTCTCGTGTTGGCATGTGGATGCGCATGCGCACGGAGCCGGAGCCGCATGCGCATGCGCGCCTCGTTGGCAGCGGATATACGAAGCTGTGCATTGGGCCGGACGACACGCAGCAGCTCGTGCGCCGGTACTTGGTGGGGGAGGATGTCACGTTTGCAGCACGGTTCACGGACATTGTTTCTGATGAAGACCAACGCAAGCGGGCGCGCAACACTCTGATGGGCGACCGCTTGCGCCAGCGACTGATTGTGGCGGACCTGGCTGCTGTGCTTGATGGCAATGCGCTCGCGCTGATCAACGAAGACGCCGGCATTGGCAGAGGCAATCCCGGCAGCAGCATCGTCATCCTGTCCCGCCAGCTGCTGACGAGAACGGTGTGCAAGGCGCTCATCCCCAAGCTGCAGGTCCTGCGCAGTCACTGCACCATCCTTGACCTCGCATTTGTTGGTCTTCCTGGTCCCTCGGAACCCGACTTCAGCCGTACCGTCCACCCATCACCACCAGAACAGCAGCAGCAGCAGCAGCAGCAACAGCAACAACAGCAGCAGCAGCAGCAGCAACAACAGCAGCAGCAGCAGCAACAGCAGCAGCAGCAGCAGCAGCAGCAACAGCAGCAGCAGCAGCAGCAACAACAACAACAACAACAACAACAACAACAACAACAACAACAACAACAACAACAACACAGCACACTGCCATCGCAGCCAATTTGGTTTGAACGCGTGCCGACGACAGATGCCTTTGGTGTGCTGTCATTTGAAGACCGGCAGCACATGTTTCGGCAGTGGATGGAGGGCAGAACGGATGTGTGCTGGGAGAGTGTGGTGCTTGGCGACGTCCCATTGACGGCACCGATTCGACGCTTGCAGGACAAAGTCAGCCGCGCGTTTCAAAACAACACGTGCAGCAGAGTAGTGTTGGACAAGGGTGATGCAGGCACCGGCGCCACGACAGCACTGCGTGTGGTTGCATGCACACAGGCCAGGAACGGCGCGCTTGTGTATTGGGTCGGGGCATCCAGCGGAGTTGAACGCGGTGGCCGTGGAGGCGACGCCGCTGTGCGCAGTGACAGCGGCAGCGACACGACGAAGCGGCTGTCTGCGGGAGTCCTGTGGTGCGCATTCCAGCAACAGCTGCAGAGCACAGGGAGGTCTCGACTGTTGATTGTGCAGGACGAGCGCATCCAGTTGCCCGCGGACTTCATCCGGGCTGTGCAGGTGAGCATGGCGCAGGGCGGCACACGACTGCAGGTGTGCATTGTCACCTCTGAGCAGCACGGGCAACAAGGAGTGCACCGACCGCACAGGCGTGGCGTGCCGCGTGCTTCTTCTGTCATCATCTCCCCCTGGCTTCATCACCATGAAGATGTTGAAGCAGTGCACGATCGCCTGGCGACATACTACCCAGACCGCCGCGACGCCCTTGATGCGGCAAAAGCACACGCACTTCGCTGTATCGGCGATGTTGCCGACGACGGCCATCTTGAAACCCCGCACAACGCATACTATGGCTGCAACCACCTGTTTGTGTTTGGACTCGCGGCCCTGTGCGGGCGCTTTGAGCCACCGCGCAAGATGGTGGCCAACATCCTGCATCAGCTCGCCCAGGATACTGCAGCGAAGACGACGCTGGTTGCGCTGGCCATGCTGCGCGCCTACTGCCTCCACGATGTGCCCATCCCATCTCGCGTGGTTGAGGCTCGAGTTGGAGCGGACTCGCCTGCATGGAAGCTTGTGTGCAGCGCAGGCTTGACCGGTGAGCACCAGCGGCTGTGTCACGTTTTCTTCGCTCGACTTGTGCTGGAGGAGAGCACGCGCACCGACGGCCATCGTCTGTTGGACGTGTCTGAGCAGCCTCTGCCGGCGGCTGCACTGGATGCGCTGCTTGCGATCTGGGCCAGCACGTGCGAGCTGCTGCAGGACTGTCCAGCTGTGTTGAAAAGCGCAGCAAAGGAAGCTTTGTTGGAGAGGCGCGGGTACGTGTTTGCTCCACTGGTGTCGGCTGCATTCTGGCCCATCAACGACCAGCTCCTTGCTGGCCTGTTGGGTGAAGGCCGCGGCCTGACCACGCTGACACCGCATCATGATAGTGGTGATGGTGGTGGTGATGGTGGTGGTGATGGTGATGGTGATGGTGATGGTGGTGGTGATGGTGATGGTGATGGTGATGGTGATGATGACCGCCGCGTGGCCGCTGCCATTGATGATCGCCTGCGCAGGCTGTTTGGCCCAGTGACCACCGGTGCCACCGCGGCATGGCGGAGGGAGGCCAGCTTTGATTTGTATGGACACGAGCTCGTGGTTTGCGCACGCGTGCATCGGGAAGTGGCGAACAATGCTGTGGCCGGTAAAGTGTGTGCACAGCGGGCGTTGGCCAATGCTCTTGACGCGCGTTGCATCTTCGGTGCTGACCCGTCGTGAAGATCGCCTGGCACGCAACCTTCTAACCTTCCTTCTGGCCACGTGCTACGCGGCACGCTGGCGGTTCAGCAAGAGTGTGTGTGGGTGTGTGTGGGGTGTGTGTGTGTGTATGTGGGTGTGTGTGTGGGTGCTGGGTGTGTGGGTGTGGGTGTGGGTTGCAACACATTGCCTTTGGGTCTTTGGGTGCTTTGGCTTGCTTCGACAATATGTTCTTTACTTCTTCTTGCGCATCTCCCCTGTACCACCAAAAGTAGACCAGCTATCACGAGGCTACGAGCGGAGAGGGCGGAGGAGGTGGCTTGGGTGGCTGTTAGTGCTTAGGAACTCGTCACAAGAAATCACACACCAGGCACACAGCACAATACTACTACAACAACACAGCACAAACACATCTTCATACCAACACTGACACTGCGCAACGTCTTCGTCATCAATGATTGCGTCATTTTTCTGGAGAAACGACGCAGCGAAGTGGAGGAGATCAGCAGATCAGCGCAGATCAGCAAGCAAGTGGCAAGCGAACACACATACACAGATAGATACACCGCACCACACTCCACCACGCGACGCAGGCAGGGAAGCAAAGCAAAGCAAGATGGGACAGGGCAGCAGCCACCAGCACAAGGAGGGGGCGTCTCGTGGCGAGACGTCAGAAGAGGCGAAATCACAGCACCTGAAGTGGCTCAAGGTCTGCAAATGTGTGCGTGTGTGAGATGTGTGTGTGTGTGTGTGTGACATGTGATGTGTGTTCGGCCATGTTGTGCCTCTTTTCTTGTTTGCACACCACACTGCCTCCCCTCCCTAACTTGCTGGATGTGCCAACCGTGACATGCTTGCTTGCTATCGACGCGACAGACGCGGTTCGAGGAGCTGCGTGATGTCTCAGCGGGCCTCTCCGCCGAAACCTTTGACAAGGTGTGCTCGTTTGTGTGTGTGTGTGTGTGTGTGTGTGTGTGTGTGTGTGTGTGTGTGTGTGTGTGTGTGTGTGTGTGTGTGTGTGTGTGTATGTGTGTGTGTGTGTGTTTGTATCTGTGTGTTTGTGTGTTGCCTGCTGCCTCGACGTCATCATCGCCTTCATCATCTTGGTCTTCCTTGGCTCTGTTGGTGTTTGTGTGCGCTGACGTTGAGTGGGTGTTCCTGCCACGCTGTATTCCCCTGTTCATCCCCCACCCCATTTGCTCTGTCACCCATCAGCTGTTGGCGTTCCCGGGTGCCGACTCGATTGGCTACCGTTGGATTGCCAAGCACCCCGATTTGAAGGATGTGCCAGCACTCACCTTTGACAACTTTGTCACCATTGTCTCCGACTCAACGCGTGCGTGTGTGTGCGTGTGTGTGTATGTGTGTGTGTGTGTGCATGCGTGTGTGTGTGCATGCGTGTGTGTGTGTGTACGTGTGTGTGTGTGTGCATGCGTGTGTGTGTGTGCGCATGTGTGCATGTGCTCGTGTACACCCACGCAGATGCAGCTACACGCAGACATACAAGTCGTGAATGGACTCCATATATACCATACCGCCTTTCCCCAAGCTTTGTTACCTGTGCATTGCCTTCTCTTCTCATTCTTATTCTTGTTCTTGTTCTTCCTGCGATGCAATCACAGATCAAACGTCGGCAGAGTTTATGTTCATGCTCTTCAGCAAGGACGACAGCGTCTTGAGCCGCGAAGGTGCTTCCAACGGCGTTCATGTGTGATTGTTCGTGATGGTGGTTGGACTTCCTGGACCCCACTCCTTGTGTATCGTTCAGTGACGGACTCCCATCCTGCAGCACGTGGTCCAACCACACACACACACACACACACACACACACACACACACACACACACACACACACACACACACACACACACACACACACACACACCTCTGCTGGCAGGTCCCAGCATCACGGTGGTGCGCGCGGCCGACGGGAGTGTGTTTGCGGTTGCTGTGGACGACGAGTGGCGGGAGCGCGCGTGTGTGTGGGGCGGCGACGCCTGCCGCCTCATGCGCGCTGCTCCAAGCGTCGCCATGAGCGCAGACAGTACGTTGATGGGTGTGATTGTGTGGTTGTGCGTGCGTGCGCGTGTGGTTGTGCGTGTGTGTGAATCTGGCACATGTGCATCATTGGCAGTGAAAGGCGACGCACAGTTTTGATACCGCTCATGTTGCACACTCAACCCAGTCCTCACTAAACTACACACACCCCCTCCCTTCCCTCCTTGCGCTTCTGTCGATGTGAACCAGCGATCAAGGTGTACGATGATCTGCGCACGCGCCACAAGGAGCACGGGTTTGGGTTTGGCCGCAACCCGTCCCAGCAGGACACTGCCCTGTACGGGTGATCGGGTGGTTGAAGATGGGGTGGCGGTGGATAAACGCTAATGCGCTGGTGTCGGTGCACCCCCAACCTCGCTCGTGTTCCCACGCACACACGCACATGCACACTGACACTGACACTGTCCCTCTCGTTTCCTCTGTGTAGGCTGTGGCTCGACTCGAGCTTTTCGTCGGCCACCACGACGTTCTGCGAGGGCGCAGCCGACACGCACCAGACCCTCAACATTGACCGCATCGAGGTGCCGTGTGTGTGTGTTGTGTTTACTGTGTCGTGTGTGTGAGATTGCTGTGCGTTGTGTATACTGTGTCGAATGTGTGTGTGTGTGTGTGTGTGTGTGTGTGCATCTGTCCGTGGGGCAAGGTGCTGCGCACAAGATATGGTGGTGTTATGTTTGCGTTCTTGTTGATGCGGTTGTTGTTCACCACCATCCACCACAGCACATCAAGTCCGCGCACTCACTGCCATCACTCACTCACTCACTCACCACCACCACCACCACCACCACCACCACCACCATCACTCCTTTTTGGTATTTGCGCAGGTGTGGGGCTGCGGTGGCGATGATGCGCTGAGTCAGCAGGACCGCCAGCGCAAACGCGACCAGCTCGCAGCAGAACAGCGGCAGCGGGTACGTGGCGATGCCAATGACAGCGGTGGTGATGGTGGTGGTGGTGGAACGTCGAATTAGAATGAAGACGTCTTTCTTCACACACACACACACACACACACACACACACACACACACACACACACACACACACACACACACACACACACACACACACACACACACCGACAATGCACACATTGAACCCCCCCCCCCTCACCAACACCCCCCACGTTAGGCGAAGCGGCCGGGGGCAGAGGACTGGAGCGACTCTGTTGACCGGCAGCTGTTGAGCATGGCCGGGGTGCTGACACTTGATGAGCAGGCCCGCGAGGATGTGGGGCACATGCGCGCAGAGCACAAGGACAAGCATCACTCCTCCTCATCCGCAAACTAACGAAACGAAACACAGCCACCATGAATCCCCAGCACAACAAAACGCGAGCAGCACGAACATTGCCACATGGGCAAACAACGGCACTTGCACATGGTCTATGCTTGGTGTTGTATTATGTTCCCGTCGTCGTTCGTGCGTGTGTGTGTGTGTTTGTGTGTTTGTGCGTGTGTCCTTGTTGGTTTGCCCGCTTGGCTGTGCGATGACTCTGTGCTCCTTGCGGCACCTTCCTTTGATTCGGTCGCCACACTACACAAGATGCTTCCAGATGATCACCTGTGGGGGGGGGGAAGAGTGTGCGTGTGTACGTGTGAGTGCGTGACTGCGAGTGGGAGAGGGCATGGATACACATGGAGAGACATGGAGAGATGCGGAGAGTGCATAGATACAGACACACACAAACAGACACACACACACACACACACACACACACACACACACACACACACACACACACACACACACACACACACACACACACACACACACACACACACACACACAGAGCATTTACACACATACACAAACAAACTGACTTCAGTCTCACACTTTGTGTGGTATGTGGAGCACTCTGTGCCACATGAGGGCCGAAATTACGCCTCTTTTCACTGCAAACTGCAACTCAAAACGGGTGATTGCGCATTCCCGCGCATTGTTGTGATGGTTTTCCTTCGCGGTTTTCCTTCGCTTCTTCTTCTTCTGCTCCTGCTTGCTTTTGTGCAACGTTCTGTCGCCATCACACACCTCCAACGGCGTCACACACCCCATTTATCACCTGCACCTCGTTCGTGTCACAACCTTCTGTTGCACACACACACAAGCTACGCCAAGCCAAGCTACGCCAAGCCAAATCAAGCAGCCGATTCCCACCCAAGCAAGCCAAGCGACCACCTCTTTTTGACCTTCCCAAGCATCATCACGCCAACACACACAAGCGACCATGTCTGTGTCATCGGGATCTCTCAACCCTGTAAGTGCGAGCGATCGGGCGTGATGGCGTGCTTGCTTGCTGGGCGGTGATGTTTGATGCGTGCGTGTGTGTGTGTGTGTGTGCGTGTGTGCGTGTGATCACCTCAGGCTCATCTGTGTGTGTCGACCTTTGATGGTGGATCTGCATCATATCTGTCTTATCTGTCTCTCTGCCCTCCATCTCCATCTCCATCTCTCTGCCATATCTGGGTTGATCCCCTTGGCTCTCACCCGCGTGCGTTTGCGTGTTCTCGCGCGCGCGCCATCCAATTCACCCTCCCTTAAACCCTGCTTGCTCCTCCCACTCCCCCCCTCCACGATTCAGGTCCTGAACCGCGAGTTTGATGAGCTCGACCAGCAGGGACGCATCTGCGCCGAGTACATCTGGATTGGCGGCACTGGCCGCGATCTTCGCAGCAAAACGTGCGTGGCAGTTCAGCTTCTCGCTGTCCCCTGCCTCCTCTCCCCTTCTGTGTTGGCATGCATGCATGCATACACACACACACACGCATGCACATGCAAGTGCATATTGCCTTGCCTTGCCTTGCCTTGCCTTGCGCAGGTAGTTGCCTCGGCACACCTACTCCACCACCTCCGCTGCGATGTCATCTCACATGCGCCACAATGTCTCCTCCTCCCTGCCCCACAACACACCACCAACAGCAAGGTGATAGACAAGATGCCAGAAAGCCCGGATGACCTGCCCGAGTGGAACTTTGACGGCTCATCGACAGGGCAGGCGCCCGGCCACGATTCTGAGGTGCTGCTCAAGCCGGAGAGCATCTTCCGGGACCCTTTCCGCCGCGGTGACAACATCCTCGTGCTGTGCTCCACGTGGCGCCCCAAGGACGACGGCAGCACGGTGCCGCTCGTGGTGGAGGAGGACCTCACCAAGGTGGCCGGCGTCTCCGGCAACAACACACGCGAGGCCGCCAAGGAGATTTTCGAGCACCCAAAGGTCAAGGAGCAGGAGATGTGGTTTGGCATTGAGCAGGAGTACACGCTGTTTGAGCGGGACGGCGTGACGCCGCTCGGCTGGCCCAAGGGCGGCTTCCCCCGGCCGCAGGGCCCGTACTACTGCTCCAACGGCGCGGAGAACTCGTTTGGCCGCGACATTGCCGACTGCCACCTGCGCGCGTGCATGTACGCGGGCGTCAAGGTGTCTGGCACCAACGGGGAGGTGATGCCTGGCCAGTGGGAGTACCAGGTTGGCCCCTGCGAGGGCATTGAGAGCGGCGACCACCTGACGCTGTCCCGCTACCTCATGTACCGCGTGTGCGAGAAGTTTTCGATTGTGGTGTCGTTTGAGCCCAAGCCGATGGCTGGCGACTGGAACGGCGCCGGCTGCCACACCAACTTCTCCACCAAGGACATGCGCGACCCCGCGACGGTGCACGAGTACACGCCCAAGGACGGGCCGTACAAGGGCGAGAAGCTGACGGGCGCGTGGGCAAAGATGATTGAGGCGCTGGAGAAGATGGGCAGCAAGTCGGCCGAGCACCTTGCGCTGTATGGCGCAGACAACCACCTCCGCCTCACGGGCAAGCACGAGACCGCGGACATGCACACGTGGTCGTATGGCGTGGCCAACCGCGGCGCATCTGTGCGCATCCCGAGGGAAACGCACAAGAAGAAGTACGGCTATCTTGAGGACCGTCGGCCCGCCAGCAACATGGACCCGTATGTCGTCACCTCGCTCCTCGCCAAGACCATTCTCCTGGACGAGTGAAGACGGAGACGAAGAGTGATAGATAAAGTGTGAAGTGAGGGCAGGAGGGACAGGGGAAGGTGGCGTGTTGTCTCCGGCGGAAAGGGGGGGGGGTTGTTTGTTGTTGTTTGTTGTTGTTTGTTGTTGTTTGTTTAGTAGTTTTGTTACTGTGTGATGAATGGGTGCGCGGTGCTTTTGTGTGTAATATGCTGTGCGCAAGCTGCCCTTTCGTACGTACTTGTGTGTGTGTGTGTGTGTGTGTGTGTGTGTGTGTGTGTGTGTGTGTGTGTCGTCGCTGCCGGTGCACACGCCCATTGTTCCTTCCTCTTCGCATTCCTCCTTTTGATTGTCGCTGTCTTGTGTCGTCCTTACCTTGGTCCTTTCCTTTCCTTCCACTTGTCGTTCTTCTGTGTTGGTGCTGGCATGAGGAGGTCTTCGTGCCACATCCCATCATGCTCTTGCCAACACGTTTCCTGTCTGTTCCCGTTGATTCCGGTCGTAACAGTGCATCCATCCTGCGTCATCGCTCCTGCGAAGCAAGCGCATGTGGCGTGTCTGTGTGCGTGCGCGTGCGCGTGCGCGCTTCGTGCCATGTGCCGTGTGCTGTGTTATCTGCTAATTCCCTCCTGATTGCCTTAAGGCGCGGGTGTGGCTGATGATGATGATGATGATGATGACGGTGTGTATGAATGAATTGTGTGTGCATATGCCTTTCTTCATACCACGCCACGTGCCGTGTATGCCATTGCAGCTTGAAGCCGTGGTGGACACACGTGCCTTAAAGATGCTTGCATGCACCATGCTAATAGAAGTGTCTCTAAAAGTGTGATACAGCCAACCACAGAGAAAGGGTGTGTGTGTGTACAATCACTGATGCAGCTACCCGATGTGCATCACATCACGTCATGTTATCTGTGTATCGGGGAGGAACGTGAACAACAGACACGACAACGATTACACAGGCGGAGAGACAGAGAGAGAGAGAGAGCAAGCCGAGATGGGGCCCCAGAAGGTAACGAACAAACAGACAAAGAGGGGCGGTAAGGAAGGACACACAACACACACACACACACACACACACACACACACACACACACACACACACACACACACACACACACACACACACACACACACACACACCGAAAGACGATGATGGGGGATGATAGGGGCCCGCCCTCCCCCACTAGAGAGTTGTATTTTTTCATGGGTTTGATGCCCCTCCTGGTTCGCGGCGGCGCCCGCTCACGAAACAGATAGAATCAATATAGGATGAGTGGTAGAGATCAATGCGAAGAG